ATTAGATTTGAGCACTTAGCTGCTTGTATCAGGAATATTTGCTAAATTGTCCCTTAGCCTGATTTTGTTAGAAAGAAAGAAAGAAAGAAAGAAAGAAAGAAAGAAAGAAAGAAAGAAAAGAAATAAACAGAAACAGCTTATTAGTAGCTTAAATAAACATGGGATTTTTTTTTTTTTTAATCACATATATTTAGCCATGAGCAACTGTGGCCTGTTTCAGCTGGGCTTTCTGTGATTCTCTTGGTCTCTTCTCTTAAGATTGAAATATGTAACTCTAGTCATCACATCATGTTTAAGGCAAGAGGGAAAGCTAAAGTCTTCCCAGAAGCCCCCAGCAGGCTATCTTTTTACATCTCATTGATTAAAACTGGATCACATAATCACCCCTAGCTGCAAGGGAGGCTGAAAAACAACAGGATAGTCTTGATTAGCTTATATCAGTAATTTGCCTTCCCTGGGACTAGGCACACTATTGACTCTAACAGGTTTGAGATTCTTTTAAAGAAGAAGAAATTGGATATTTATTGACTAGGCCACTAAAATCAGTCTATCACACAATAACTGTAACAAGAAGCATTAGAAAATATAGGAGTGAATGGGTGTGGGGATATTTATTCCAGTCTACCATTTATAATGCCATGTTGAAATGCCTTCACAGAAAATGTTCAGCTGTTCACTTCCGTTGCTTTCAAACCCCGATTGTGAACACATTTCTCCGAAGCCAGCTATATTCCTTCCTTGGCCATTTCCCTTGTTTCAGTTTCTCAACTCAGGGAATAAATACTGTGAAGGGGGTATTTTTTCTCCCTCAAGATATTGTCCTACCAACTCGTCAGTCCAAATTTCCTCTGTTGGTCTTTCCACCAAGTGACTGACTCTCTGTCTGAATCCTCCTTGCATCCACCCTGCCTTACAGATGCATGTTATATATACCAGCTAGTTGAAAGACTCATAATTTACTTCTGGTACTCTACTAACTTTCCCTTTTTCTCTTTCTCCTCCTCTTTTTCCTCTCCTTCTCTTGTGTTCCCTCCTCTCCGTTGCTGCTGCAGAGCGTCTCTACAGCCAACTTGAGCGAAACCGCCTGCTTTCTAATGAGCTGAAGCTAACGCTGCATGATCTGTGTGACTGATGGGCAGGGCTCACTGATGCCCATTAAACTGAGCTTACTGCTCACACCACTGACCTGGACCCCAACAAAAAGCTGATTGTCTTTTTAAAAGTTATTATTTTGCCCTGAGCATATTGCTTTTTAATTGGGGCACTTAGAATGTTCATTTCCTAACAGTATTGTGAAATTGACCATTGTGAAGTTTCTGACCCTTTAGAAGAGATTATGGGTGAAGAAGGGAGGGGCCTGAGAGATTATAGTGAAAAAACTTGGGAGAATATTGTTTTCCACCCTTATTTGCTACTCTTTCACTTGTGCACTCAGTGTAGGATATGTTCCTTTTCATGGATATTTCTAACAATAAAAGGACTGACTTGACAAATTGTTGTAACTGCTTCGTCTGCAGGCCCAGGCATGGGTCCTTCTGACTGGGTGGAAAAAAAGGGAAAGGGAAGAAAAGTTGTGGGATACGAATATGGCTCTGTGTCGCCATCACCTCTGAGTTGAAGATTTTAGTATTTTCCTCACTTCTTTAGAGCAGTCAGAGTGGTTTGCTTGCTAGACAAATTAGATTCTCCTTAGTGTTCAGCTGCTGATTTTCTTCCTGACATTTTCCCTTTTGCTTCCTTTTCCTGGTTTTATGTTTAATTTCAAGTAACTGTCACAAGCTAGTTTTGGACAGTAGCTCTACAGCAATCTCAAAGTTTTGCTTATAACTACTTGTTTCAGTAGTGTTCTTGGCTTTGTTTTCTTTAGAGATTATTTAACTTAACTGTGAGGGCCCTTTTATCTATCCCACCAGTTATTATTTTCTCCTCTACTTTTTGGAAAAAACGTGTAGTGCATGAGGATCTTCCTGTGCTCTTTATAATTTGAGATTCCGATGTTTCTGTTGTTTGCAATGTTCAAACTCCAGTGAGCCATTTCAAGAAGTTATTGTCATGTGGGTAAAACCTAGAAAAGTGGATGGCTGATGCTTAAGGCTTGCTCTTTCATTGACTGAAAGCTGAAAGTGTTGGTTGGGTGTGGGTGGGAGAGGAAATGGCTGATAAGGGACCTCACTCTCTCACCCAGGAAGTGCAGCAACACCTACAACCTCAGTAGGCAACCCAAAGGCCCTACAAAACCGGGTGATAAAATAGCTCACTTCTGTGGCTGAGAAAGCAGCTGCTTTATTAGTCCGCAGCTTTTCTGCAACAGGAGCAAGTCTCAAAAGAGCGCACAGACCTTGAAATTTACTTCTCGTTTTCTGTAACTTCTCTCCTTTACCCCCATTAGATAAACTGAAATGCACCAAAGAGGAGCACCTCTGTACACAAAGGATGCTGGACCAGACTCTGCTTGACCTGAATGAGATGTAGAACGCCCCAGTCCCACCCTGCTGCTGCTTCTCCCTCTGACCCTGACTCCGCCTGAGGCCAGCCTGCCCGAAGCTGACCTTTAACTGAGGGCTGATCTTTAACTGGAAGGCTGCTTTCTCTTTCGCTGCCCCCTCTTCCCCTGTGTCTTATTCGCCAAAATGTCTCTGCCTCTTCCCGGAGATTCCAGTTGGGCTAGAGGCTGAGCACCTTTGGAAACAACATTTAAGGGAATGTGAGCACAATGCATAATGTCTTTAAAAGCATGTCGTGATAAACACATTTTGTAATTACCTTTTTTGTTGTTTTGTAGCAACCATTTGTAAAACATTCCAGATAAGTCCACGCCCTGAAGCAGCAAGCTAATCCCTTTCTTACTTTTGGAAGGTGACTTTTCAGCTTAATGCATATTGCCCTCTCCATAGAAGAGAGGAAAAGGTATAGCCCTGCCTTACTGAGAGCCAAACAGAGCCTAGGGAAAGACTCCACTGTGGGAAACCTCATTGCTCTGTGCAAAGTACCAGCTAAACCAGAAAGGTGATTCCAGGAGGAGTTAGTCAAACAAGAACAACAACAAAAAAATGTGCTGTTCAAGTTTTCAGCTTTAAGATCTCTTTGGACAACATTATTTCTATTTTTTTCATTACAAGTGACCAAATTAAGATGGTAAGATCTCTGAGACCAAATTTTTGTCCCATCTCTACTCCCTCCCAACTGCTTACAGAACGGATCATGTGCCCCTTATGTTGAGATGACCACTTAATTGCTTTCCTGCCTCCTTGAAAGAAAGAAAGAAGATTGTTTTTGCCACTGATTTAGCCATATGAAACTCATCTCATTACCCTTCTCTGGGTTTGAAGCTGCTGTGTCTAAAAGTGCCATCTCATTGTGCTTTGTATCAGTCAGTGCTGGAGAAATCTTGAATAGCTTATGTACAAAACTTTTAAAATTTTATATTATTTTGAAACTGCTTCTTTGGATTTGTGGCACCCTGGCCACCCCATCTGGCTCTGACAGCCTCTGCAGTCCATGGGCTGGCAGTTTGCTGATCTTTTAAAGTTTCCCTACCCAGTCCCCATTTTCTGGTAAGGTTTCTAGGAGGTCTGTTAGGTGTACATCCTGCAGCTTATTGGCTTAAAATATACTCTCCTTTTATGTGGTCTCTTTGGGCCGATTGGGAGAAAGAGAAATCAATAGTGTAACTGTTTTGATACTGAATATTGACAAGTGTCTTTTTGAAATAAAGAACCAGTCCCTCCAACTCTCAGACCTATTTGACTTTTATTTATTAAAACCAAATGTGCTTTCTTCACAGAAGCTATGAGGTTTGGGTTAAAAATCGCATCTTTGGCCGGGCGTGGTGGCTCACGCCTGTAATCCAAGCACTTTAGAGGCCAAGGTGGGCGGATCACCTGAGGTCGGGAGTTCAACACCAGCCTGACCAACATGGTGAAACCCCGTTTAAAAAAAAAAAAAATCGCATCTTTGTGGGTGGTAGCAACAATATTTAATGTAGAGCAAATGTTCAGTTTCATCATCTGTAAAATGAAGATAAGTATTGTCAGAGTAAACATGAAGATTAGAATACTTAATGTGTCGGATCTTTTATAGGTTAACACCGGCATCTCAGGTTGAACTATATGTTTTCCTTCACAACCATATTAATTCTTTTTCTTTCTTTTTTTTTTTTTTTTTTTTTTTTTTTTTTTTTTTATATTTTTTTTTTTTTTTTGAGACGGAGTTTCACTCATGTTACCCAGGTTGGAGTGCAATGGCGTGATCTCTGCTCACCGCAACCTCCGCCTCCTGGGTTCAGGCAATTCTCCTGCCTCAGCCTCCTGAGTAGCTGGGATTACAGGCACGCGCCACCATACCCAGCTAATTTTTTTTGTATTTTTAGTAGAGACGGGGTTTCACCATGTTGACCAGGATGGTCTCGATCTCTTGACCTCGTGATCCACCCGCCTTGGCCTCCCATAGTGCTGGGATTACAGGCTTGAGCCACCGCGCCCGGCCTACAACCATATTAATTCTTATAAGCTATGGATTTATTATGCTCTTTAAAACAATATATGATGCTGGTCACTACTATAAATGTATGGTTTTAACCAACTGTACTGTGAAACAGCCTTTGAGTTAATATTCTGTTTGGATATTTTATGGAAGTTAACAAGAAGTGCTCTCAGAGTATTTGCTTAGAAGCCGGCTGTATGAGTGGATAACTTTCTTTTTTTTTTTTGAGACGGAGTTTCGCTCTTGTTACCCAGGCTGGAGTGCAATGGCGCGTTCTCGGCTCACCGCAACCTCCGCCTCCTGGGTTCAGGCAATTCTCCTGCCTCAGCCTCCTGAGTAGCTGGGATTACAGGCACGCACCACCACGCCCAGCTAATTTTTTTTTGTATTTTTAGTAGAGACGGGGTTTCACCTTGTTGGCCAGGATGGTCTCGATCTCTTGACCTCGTGATCCACCCGCCTCGGCCTCCCAAAGTGCTGGGATTACAGGCTTGAGCCACCGCGCCCGGCCAGAGTGGATAACTTTCAAAGCTGCCTTTCAGAGGCCAGTGTCCGGCATTTCCTGCATTGTGGCCTGGAGGCTGAATGTGAATCTGATTTCTAGTAAAATTACACGGTTCCTTTGACAAAGTCCAGCTGTTTATCCCAGAGACTGCACAATTTTCCGTTTATACGCATGGGCCAATGCTGACTGGAAATCATTGCAAAAAGCTTTTCTATCAGGCGTGGGGTGTGATGTTGAGCCAAACTGTGCAACAGAAGAAATTGGAAGAAATTAAAGTACTGTCCGGGTGTGGTGGTTCTCGCCTGTAATCCCAGCTACTCGGGAGGCTGAAGCTTTTTTTTAGACTTTTCTGCTTGTTCCTTACTCTTGAAAAGGTCTGCCATCCATTATTCAAGAAAGCCCTTTAAGAGGGTTTGAGGTGTTTTAGCTGGGCTTGTGCCAAAAGTTTCCATTTTATTGGCTTGCTGAAGGACTGCATTTAAAAATGCCCACAATTCCGAGCAAGAAGCAGGTCCCGCCCCCTCTGCTGACGTCACACCTGCAGATTGGCAGATGGAGCTGTGGGCGCACCCGGAGTTGAGCGGGAACCCGAGACCTGGCAGTCGCCATGACTGGCTGTCAGGCGTCATCAAGACGCCGAGGCTTCGGTCTCTTTTTCTTGCCTCTACGCTGCTTCCTGTTGTTTCTGGTTTTGCTTAGGACGCTGGCCTACAAACTTAACGTGCCACAGGTGTTGCTACCCTTCAGCCAGGAGTCAGGCCGGGAGCCTTTCCTGCTGGAGGCCCAGCGGGGCTGCTACACTTGGTGAGGGGTGGTGGGTCACAAGGAATTGAACCCTCACATCATCCAGTAGGGGTGAGAGGGATACCCTTTGTAAGATCACACGGGAATACCGTGTGGGCCCGCGTGAAGGGACCTAGCCGGTAGGGGAGGAGAGTGTGGTGTCAGTGAAGGGGACGTGGGGGACAGACCCTTGGGCGTGGCGTGTCCTACTAGTGGGATATCCTCCAGTGGCGTGACGATCTTCCAGACGTGTGAGGAATTCCCGGGTTGTGGGACTGGCCTTTTCTGTGTGTGTGTTGGGAAGGGGTGGTCACAATGAGCGGCCGTCAGGGTAAAGGGAAGCCCTGAGTTGGAGGCCTCTGGTACTGATGACTTGCAACGTAAACAACCAGTAAGAGGAAGTTCCCGATATCTGAGGAAATTTCTGTAAGCAGGAAGACTTGGGGTGCGAGGGTCCCCACTCACTACAGGTGAGCTGTTCAATCTGAGGAGGACTTAAAACACAACAGCCAAGTATTGAGTGTTAACTAAGTACTCTGCATGTTAACTCATTCACTTTTTACAGTCTCGTGAAGTAAGTACTATGACTCCATTTCGCAGACGAGGAAAGTGAGGCCCAGAGACTATGAAGTGTAAACTTCTGGGAATATGAGGGTTCATCTTGGGTGGAGATGAGATCTGTCTTTATTATCAAAACTGCCCCATTTATAAAAGGGTACCCACTTGAAGGATGAGGACAAGGTTGTACACGCAACTCTGGGATAATGACTTTCTGACTGAAGATGAAGAGACGTGATTTTCTGGTGTGAGAGGACCCAATGATGGATTATGTGGTTGCCTAAGTTGTGAGAGAACCTAACTGAAATGAGCTTCAGGAGGCCAGTGCATTCATCCTAAATGGAGTAGATACCCCTTTGCTATCTCCTAGGAGAAGCAATGAGGTTTGTTCAGAGCATAAATTCACCTCTCATTTTATGAGGAAGTATAAGGGAAGTGGGCTTGTAAGATGATCCAGTGTGATGTGTGTGTTTCCTATGAGGGTGATGCAAGGCATCTTTCCAGCATTGAAAGCCATTTCTTCTATCCCTCCAAAAATAATCCTGAGGCCAGGCGTGGTGGCTCACACCTGCAATCCCAGCACACTGGGAGGCCAAAGCAGGAGGATTGCTTGAGGCCAGGAGTTTGAGACCAGCCTAATCAACATAGTGAGATGTCTATTTAAAAATAAAAACAAGGCCAGGCGCGGTGGCTAACGCCTATAATCCCAGCACTTTGGGAGTCCGAGACGGGTGGATCACAAGGTCAAGAGATTGAGACCATCCTGGTCAACATGGTGAAACCCTGTCTCTACTAAAAATAAAAAAAAATTAGTTGGGCATGGTGGCACATGCCTGTAGTCCCAGCTATTCGGGAGGCTGAGGCAGGAGAATTGCTTGAACCCAGGAGGCAGAGGTTGCGGTGAGCCGAGATCGTGCCATTGCACTCCAGCCTGGGTAACAAGAGTGAAACTGTCTCAAAACAAAAATAAAAACATTCGTCCGGGCACAGTGGCCCACACCTGTAATTCTAGCACTTTGGGAGGCCCAGGTGGGTGGATCACGAGGTTAGGAGTTTGAGACCAGCCTGGCCAACATGATGAAACTCTGTCTCTACCAAAAATATAAAAATTAGCCGGGCGTGGTGTCACGGGCCTGTAATCTCAGCTACTCGGGAGGATGAGGCAGGAGAATCGCTTGAACCCAGGAGGCAAAGTTTCAGTGAGCTGAGATCACCCCACTGCACTCCATCTTGGGGGGCAAAGTGAGACTGTCCCAAAAACATAATAAAAATAAAAACATTTATGAATTTTTTTGGTATTTTGAGTTGGACTCATACCTCATAATTTAGGTAATTTTTTCATGCTAGATAGCAGCAGCCTGGTGATTGAAGAAAACTTTCCTCAGAGTATGAGAAAGTCGCACCTCATTACTGGAAAGACATCAGTCCTATTTCTGCATACTGAGGGAAGAATATAACAATCTTTTTTTGTTTGTGTGTATTTTTAGTAGAAATGGGGTTTCACTATATTGGCTAGGCTGGTCTCGAATGCCTGAACTTGTGATCTACCTGCCTTCGCCTCCCAAAGTGCTGGGATTATAGGCGTGAGCCACCGAGCCGGGCCAACAATCTTTTAAAAAAAATATTGAGGGAGGGATATTTCTGAGACTGCTCAAGGGATCATTGGGAAAGTTCTGATCAATTTCTCTAATTCTTTTTTTTTTTTTTTTTTGAGGTGGAGTTTCAGCTCTTATTGCGCAGGCTGGTGTGCAGTGGCAGGATCTCGGCTCACTGCTACCTCTGCCTCCTGGGTTCAAGCAATTTTTGTGCCTCAGACTCCTGAGTAGCTAGGATTACAGGCATATGCCACCATGCCCAGCTAATTTTTGTTTTTTTTTTTTGAGACGGAGTTTCGCTCTTGTTACCCAGGCTGGAGTGCAATGGCACAATCTCGGCTTACTGCAACCTCCGCCTCCTGGTCCAAGCAGTTCTCCTGCCTCAGCCTCCCGAGTAGCTGGGACTACAGGCGTGCGCCACCATGCCCAGCTAATTTTTGTATTTTTAGTAGAGACAGGGTTTCACCATGAGATGGATTTTTCCCTGTTGGTCCAGCTGGTCTCAAACTCCTGACCTCAGGTGGTCCCCCACCTTGGCCTCCCAAAGTGCTGGGATTACAGTCGTGAGCCATCACCCTTGGCCTATCTCTCACTCTAATTTCTTGCATCCCTAAGCAATAGTTCTGCTTTAAAAAGTGTCGTTTACATATACCTGGTAGTATGTAACATGGAAGAAGTATGAGAATCTATGTTCCAACAAAAGTTAATTTTAACCCACGTATTTCATACTCTTAAGAGTTTTGTTCTGGCAGGCATTCCACCCATCATGATGCAGTTACTGTTGAGCCTTTATATGAAAATGGCACCTTGTGTTCCCAAAAAGCTGTACTCGTTGCAGAATCTACCCAACCGATGCGCCTCAGCAGTGTTATTCTTGCTCGAGAAATAGGTATGTTGAGAGTAAAAACACTATCACTTCACCTGGGGTAGAATAATCTGGTATTTTGTATAGATGGTTAACACAAATGGTCTTGGCTTCAAATGATAAGAGGAAGAATAAAAGATTTCTAGCCGGCTGCAGTGGCTCACGCCTTTAATCCCAGCATTTTGGAAGGTTGACGCAGAAAGACTGCTTGAGCTCAGGACTTCAAGAGCAGCCTGGGTAACATAGTGAGACCTGTCTCTACAAAAAATAAAAAATTATGCCCAGGTGCAGTGGCTCACCTCTGTAATCCCCCCACTTCGGGAGGCCGAGGTAGCTGGATCACCTGAGGTCAGGAGTTCGAGACCAGCCTGGCTAACATGGTGAAACATCATCTCTACTAAAAATAGAAAAATTAGCTGGGCATGGTGGCAAGCACCTGTAATCCCAGATACTCTAGAGGCTGTGGCAGAAGAATTGCTTGAACTTGGGAGGCTGAGGCTGCAATGAGCCAAGATCTTGCCATTGCACTCTAGCCTGGGCGACAGAGCAAGACTCTGTCTCAAAAAAATAAAAAAATACATAAGTAAAATAAAAAAATAGCTTGGTGTGGTGGTGCACCCCTGTAGTCTCAGCTACTTGAGAGGCTCAGATGGGAGCCTCCCTCCTCAGGTTGGGGGATTGAGCCCAGAAGATCAAGGCTGCACTTAGCTATGATCACGCCATTGCACTCCAGTCTGGGTGATTAGAGCAAGACCCTGTCTCAAAAAAACAAAAAACAAAAAAACCCCCACCAAAACCACCCCCTGCAATATACACCCTAATTGTAGCACCCTATTATATGACTTTTTTTGTTTTTGGTATCTAGTACCTGGCGTGGTATCGGAGACCATGGAAACTCTAGTTATTTGAATCAGTGAAGGAATCAAACTCTAGTTATTTGAATCAGTGAAGGAACTAACTTAGGTGTAAAGGTCTGAGGTTAGTTTGAGTAAGGCAAAAGGCAGTACAAAAACTAGTACTTGTCAAAGTGTGGGCTATGCATGTGTATCAGCATCACCTGCATCAAACAGGAGCTTGTTAGATGTGTAAATTCTCAGGTTCCATCTTTTTTAAGTTCTGGGATACAGAACGTGCAGGTTTGTTACATAGGTATACATTTGCCATGGTGGTTTGCTGTACCTATCAACCCATCATCTAAGCTTTAAGCATCTTTTATCTTTTATATTGGAATCTCAAGGGTGAGCCTAGGGTTCTGTGTTTTAACAAGCTCTCCAGGAGATTCTCATACATACCAATACCAAAGTTTGAGAAGCACTAAACTAGTCTGTTTTAGTCTAGAGCAGCTCAAGAAATACTATTGTTTACAAAGCAGAACAGCAGTCTTTGTATTCCTGATTCTCTGGCACTTCATTGCCATATTGCCTAATGGCTGAAAATATCTCTATGGCTTCTAAATGTGTGGGGTTTTTTTTTTTTTTTCTTGTTTCAAGTTTTAATCAAAGCTTGTACATAAGATTACTTTATTCCTGCATCTTCTCAATTGTTTCTTCCTTGTATTTGCCCTTTTCCTTTCCTACTTGGCGAGATTTGGCTTTCGGTTCAAGGATCTTTTTGTGGTCTTTGTCAAGTTTTAGCCTAGTGATAACCACCTTGCTGGGGTGAATGCTTACGTGGACAATTGTGCCATTAGCCTTTTCCCGCTGTACCCGTTCAATGTAGATTACATATTTCTTCCTGTAAACCTGGACTACTTTGCCAATCTGCTGACCTTCATAGTGTCCTCGTACAAGCTGAACTTCATCATCCGTTCGGATGGGCATGGATCGCACATTGTACTTCTGTCTCAGTTCTTTGGAAAAAGGAGAGGACATAATATTCCTGCGAATGTGGGAAGGTGCATTGAAATGACTTTTGTGATTCTTGCTTCTATTGGAAGTCACAAAGGGATTGAACTTCATTTTGGCAGCTTCCGCTTAGGTGATGGCCGCAAAAAGGCATTTTTTTAAAAAGATAATTTAGTCTACAGTATTTTTGTTATTAAACGTTTTGATAACTAATTTATCTATAATAGTTTATTAAATAGAACTTAGGATGTTTGGTATACTGTATTTCATATAATTGAAGATGCCATCTATTATAAAGTGCACCATTACTTTATGTACCATTAAGAAAAAAAAACATTGCTGACTGGGCACAGTGGTTCACGACTGTAATCCCAGCAGTTGGGGAGGCCTAAGGCAGCGGAGGTCGGGAGTTCAAGACCAGCCTGACCAATATGGAGAAACCCCATCTCTACTTAAAAAATGCTAAATTAGCCAGGCGTGATGGCGCATGCCTGTAATCCCAGCTACTTGGGAGGCTCAGATAGGAGAATCACTTGAACCCAGGAGGCAGATGTTGCAGTAAGCTGAGATTGTGCCATGCACTCCAGCCTGGTGACAGATCGAGACTTCATTTCAAAAAGCAAAACAAAAAAAAAATAAGAAAGAAAAACATTGTAAACTAAACTATGCTTTTTTTCCACTTGAAATTTTTATATCTACTGAAAGAATTCTTTGATTCAGTTAGATGGTTATTATGTATAATTCTGGTGCCTAATAAAAATGAAAATCACTTTTTTTTTTGAGACAGAGTTTCACTCTTGTTGCCCAGGCTGGAGTGTAATAGCGCAGTCTGAGCTCACCGCAACCTCTGCCTCCCGGGTTCAAGTGATTCTCCTGCCTTAGCCTCCTGAGTAGCTGGGACTACAGGCGTGTGCCACCATGCCTGGCTAATTTTGTATTTTTTAAAAAATTTATTATTATTTTTTTAAGATCGGGTTTCACCATGATGGCCAGGCTGGTCTTGAGCTTCTGACCTCAGGTGATCCACCCACCTCAGCCTCCCAAAGTGCTAGGATTACAGGCATGAGCCACTGCGCGCAGCCTAATTTTGTATTTTTTTTAGTAGAGAGGGGGTTTTTCCACGTTGATCAGGCTGGTCTTGAACTCCTGACCTCCGCCCGCCTCAGCCTCCCGAAGTGCTGGGATTGCAGGCATGAGCCACTGTGCCTGGCCGAAAATCACTTTTTGACTGGGAATCATCAGTGTCTGTGTTTATCCCCATAGCATTCTCCTCTGTGTCATCAAGAGTAAAGCTGTTGGCCAGGTGCAGTGGCTCACACCTGTAGTCCCAGCACTCTAGGAGGCTGAGGCAGGCAGATCACCTGAGGTCAAGAGTTTGAGACCAGCCTGCCCAACATGGTGAAACCTTGTTCTGCTAAAAATACAAAAAAATTAGCTGGGCATGGTGGTGTGTACACCTATAGTCCCAGCTACTCTGGAGGCTGAGGCAGGAGAATTGCTCGAACCTAGGAGGTGGAGGTTGCAGTGAGCCAAGATTGCGCCACTGCACTCCAGCCTGGGGACAGAGAAAGACTCCATGTAAAAAAAAAGTGGGTATTAGGCAGCATTTTCTTTTTTTAGAGACAGGATCTCGCTTTGTTGCACAGGTTGTAGTGCAATGGCATGATAGTAGCTGACTGCAGCCTGCCTGGCCTGTGCAACATAGAATCCATCTCTACAAAACAATAATAATAAAACAAAAGAATTTTAAAAACCACCTAAAACCTGCTCTTAAGTGGACTTTGCAATTAGATAGAACTAATCTGTTTTTGTTTCCAGCTTTGGAACATTTCCTAGTACATCTGAGTCATCACTTTTCCCCCCACTCCCTTTAACCTTTTGGTTCCTAGGGAATAAGAGTCCGCTACTATTGTTCACCAGATTTCTTTCCAACTACTAACACCTATTCTACAAATTTTGATACTGGCCTTCTTAATGTTCTCACATGTTCAGTCAATGACAATTATGTCTTAACTGCTGCCTGTCTGAGAGCACTTGTAAAATGTCATCAATTATAAGAAATTTCCCAATTGCAGAGATGTTAAAAGGTAAAAAATGAGTGTCTAAGAATCAGTGAAATATGGTATGAAATTCTCAGACATGAGAATCTTTGAAGACCATGTCATGCAAGGTAGCAACAAAGGATAGAGGAGGATACCAAAGTCAGAAAAAAAAAAAAAAAAAACTGGTCACATACACTATTTTAAAAATGTAATCATTTTTAATTATACAAATTCATTCTGATATAAAAAATTCACACAAGTAATAGGAATCATGTCAAATCTGGCTCACAGCTTAACTTCATCTGACTTGTGACCCATTTTTCAAAGTTAATTATCCTTAGATCAACTTTCCCATTTTACTATTAATACAGTTGTGTACATAGAAGAGATTCCCAGTGGTAAGAACCAGTCTTGGTGTCCTACTAGGAGCATCTGAATGGGAGCAAGTAATATGAAATGGGTGGGATTGGGCATTTGTGAAAGGGAAGTGCAGCTTGGTGCAGTGCTTATGCCTGTAATCCCAGCACTTTGGAAGACCAAGGTGGGCTGATCACGAGGTCAAGAGATGGAGACCATCCTGGCCAACATGGTGAAACCCCATCTTTACTAAAATTACAATAATTAGTTGGGTGTGGTGGCACGTGCTTGTAGTCCCAGCTACTCGGGAGGCCGAGGCGGAAGAGTTGCTTGAACCCGGGAGGTGCAGGTTGCAGTGAGCTGATATTGCGTGACTGCGCTCTAGCCTGGCGACAGAGCAAGACTCCATCTCTAAAAAAAAGGGAAGTTCATGCCTCAGAGAAATTGTTCATTAATTAATTGGACAAATATTTATCGAGTTGCCTACCATATGAGGCATATATAAAGGTAAAAAGATTTAAGCTTCTGATTGATATTTAAGTGCTTGTTACAGAATTTTGTTTATGATGGTTTTGGTGATAGTGTAGTAAAGAAAGTGGCTGTGACAGAGATGATGGATGGACTTGAGGTGAGAGACTTGAGATGGACAGTTCCATATGATAAGAGTACTAGTTTTCTTCCTCCCTCCTCCCTCTCTGTTTCTTCCCCTCCCTCCTGCCCTCTCTTCCTTCCTTCCTTCAGACAGGGTTTTGCCATGTTGCCCAGGTTGCTCTCTTGAACT